AAAATTACAAAATGTTCAAATTCAGAAAAGAGCTAGGTCTGGTAGTGTGGGTAGTATTCAGGAAGCAGAGATAGGAAGGAGGATCAACAGAAGTCCCGGATCAGCTTGGTTTTCATAGTGAGTTCCAGGCCAGTTAGGATTATATAATAAGACTCTGGGTTTTGTTTGTTTGTTTTGTTTTGTTACAAAAAAACAAAAGAAAACAAACAAGAACAACAACAAAAAATATGAGGTTATTGAGATGGTCCAAGGTTAGAGTGCTTCATGCACAATCCTGAAGAACCTCCAGTTCCATGCCTACCATAGGAAACCTGTAAGTGGTACAAAAAGCACAAAATTGGAGATGCGACTGTAACTCGGCGGTGGAGTGTATTCCCTAAATATCTTTATCCCTTTCAGTGAAAAGAGAAAACCAAAGATATAAACTAGATAATGAGAGTTTTGTGGTAAGTGGTGACTGAACATGTGGCAATGAAGTCACACAACTTAGGTAGGCCTGGGCTTGGTGGTACACATTTGTAATTCCAACTGCTCAGAAGCTGTAGAAAGGAGTACAACTTCATGGCTAGCCTGGGATAACTCAGCAAAATCCTGTAAGATAAAAATAAAAATATGACAAGGGCTATACAACAGTAGTAGAGCACTTGTTTGGCACTCTAGAACAATCTCTAGTTCTGTAAAAACAGATCACCCAACTGAGTAACTGATGTCTCCAATAGCTCATTTCACAGCCTGCCATACAGGTGTGGAAAATAAGGTAATGTCCTCACCTATACACTTTTCACAATGGTTTATGTCGATGTACATATTCTCTTGAAAGATGAAAGGACCAACTATCTGGTATATATCCTCTTTTATCTCATATTTTGGTAATAAGACTTACCAATATTGTTAGGAACGAAGCAAAAGATAGAAAGGTAGGTCAACAAAACCACTGTTTACAATGGAAAAACCTTATCAAAAGAAAATGTCATAAACATATTGAAAAGCAAATGAATTTAACACTGACATTTTGCTTGTAAGTCTACTCATTTTTGACTTACTAAAATATATTCTACTTTTCCAAAATTCCAGACAAGCCTAATCACATCATACAATATACAATATCACAAGAAAGGGTAAGTATTTCTAGAATGGAGTCTAGAAACTTAACACAGACCAGTTTCAAACACCTGGGCTCTAGTGATCCTCCCACTTTGGCACCCCAAGTAATACAGACCATATGTGCATGCTTCTGCAACTATCTGGACAGTGAGTTCCTTAATAAGGGTATTTACTAGTGATGGAATTTATTTTCCCTCGAATCTAGACTGCTGGCATGGTAACCTATGTCATCAATGAGATTCATCCTGAGAGGATATTAGTACTGGTGCTGTGACTCCCTGAGTTAATGAAATTGTAGATACAGCCTGGTATCTGATAAATGAAAAGGCACAAGACTGTCATCCTCACAAGGAAGGCTCTTATCAAGGGCATTATTTAAACAGTTGGGCCATTTTCTTATCTGGTAAAAAATCAGGAAACAAAATAAAGATAAACCAAATATCTAACCACTGACAAACTTTCTAGATGCAATAAAATTTCCTTTATGATGACTACATCTCAGGTAGACTTTTCATGCGTAACTATTCATACGTGATCTAGAAAGTGCTGTATGACCCATGATGTGAAGAAAAGAAGTCATGCAGACAACTCCAAAATAAAAGAACTCCCCAAATTAAACTCTGCCGAAATACACGTTTTCTCCCTGAAAAGAATCTGCAGCAAGGCCGTGATCTCCCCAAATACCATCTTGCAGAAGGACAAGAAGTCAGAATATTACAGAAGGTGAAAAGATTTAAAAAGAAAGACAAGCCATGTATGATGGCTCATATTGGGGAAGCAGGATCTCAGTAAATCTAGGGCCAGCCTGGGTTGTATAGTGAAGTCCAGACCAGCCCTGTGCTACAGAACAATACACCTTTCTAAGAAAGGAAGGAAGGAAGGAAGGAAGGAAGGAAGGAAGGAAGGAAGGAAG